CGCCCAATCAACCATATGGTAAGAATAACGCTCTCTCTTTTTTTTTTGTCGAAGAAGGATCCGACGCGCCCAGAACGATGTGTCAGGTTCCGTGTCCATTGGAGATGACGCTTTTTTTGTCTTGAGAGAACGGAGCGTTAGGCTTAGCAGGTGCGGATAAGCAACCAGCTTCTCTTATTAATAACGACAATGCGCACCTCGTGCTTTAGCCTCAGAGTAAGATGAAACCAATCGATGGCTGATTTCATCATTTATTTTTTGCTGTCAGCATAATGTAGCGAGAGCAAGTTCAGATCAATATGGGTGGCTGTTTCCGCATGGGTACTTAATGTTGACTTGTGAACGTAGTTACCAGAAGTAATCGACAGAAATAATCTAACGCGTGCAAAATAAATGAAAAGTATAAATGTATCACTTATCGATGTGGCGCAACGCACGTTTGGTTGGTAATAAACTTTATTAACGATCCAACGAAGAGTTACTGGTCCGGGCTAGACCTCCAGAAGCCGTCGTCCGCGGAGCATCGTGCGATGTCCTCGGCGATAGCCCTGGCTCGCTGGACAGCCCAGATTCGGTCTACTGCACGTGAGCTGAAAAAAGTGGCTCGCCATCGCTGAGCCAGCCCTCCTGGGGTACACTCACGCTCGTCCAAATAGTGGCGGCGAACAGCGCACTCTCACTCCCAAAGTATATGCGCCATGACGGCTGTCTCGTGCCCGCACGATGGACAGCCGGGTGATGGGCGGAGCGAGAGGTACAGTCTATGCAGGTGTCGGCGATTCTCAAACGTGTCGGTCTGCAGACGCCTCAGATTGGACTCCTGAGACCTCTCTAGCTGCATGTCGGGTGGTGGGTAACGTCGTCGCGTTTTTCTGTATTGGTTGAGGATCTCGTGGAAAGTAACCATGATTCCGTTGCCGTCCTGTAAAGCCTTGGGGTCTGCTATGATTGTCGCAGAGGTATCTCCTCCGACGTCGGGTGCGTTCTCCTCCGATCGTCGGTGTGTCGCACATCGGTGACCCTTTCGTCTGCGTCACAGCACTCTGGCGACAAAGTGTGCGCGCCCGTTGTAGTACGACGGGAGGTCAGATCTTTGGTCACTGCCAAGCTCTCTCACGTGCACGGGAAACCACTTGAGAGAATTGGCAGCAATCGTGCCAGCCTTGAAATCTTCGGATTTGGCGTTTAGCATGTGCACCGTCTCGAGAGAGACCCATCCCTTCGTAAAGTTTCGGACCGCCATCTTGGTGTTACTCACAATAAGTGTGTCCCGTTTCCACTATGAATTATTGCGAGGGCTATGGCCACTCCTTCTGCCGCATCAGATGATGGGAGCTTCGCAGATCCCGTCGCCAGAGTTCGTTCCCGCGTGTCGACCACCACCATGGAGAAGGCAGGTGTCGATTGGCGCCGTTGTTGTTCTCGTTCATTCTGCTGTTGTCCTCGGTCGGGCCGGGGGTATCTAGCAGCGTCTGCAAAAAGGAAACTCAGTAAATTGAGAATGGAAAGTTTATTTCATACTAGTAACAGCACTTCAGGTGAGTACACGCGTCTGGTTTAACAAAATCGCTTCACTGGCACGTATTTACAAACAAGACAACATAGACACGATGCAACTTACACCTCTGGCATACTTTCACAGATTACGAGTCACTGAAACTGAAGGAAACGAAGAGAAAAGGCAACACAAAAAGTACTACGTTAGAACAGGATCACATATTATTTGGGACGAGAATCGAGATTTTTTTCTCTTTTTCAGTGAGTTTTAAAGGTGCAGTAAAGTAAATTCAATATTCCCATTCCACACTCAAAAAAGAAATCGTGTATTTATGCCAACTTCTGAGGAATGATTTTGCACCCTGCGTTTCTGTTTGTTCGCTGAGGTACCCAATCAAGACCATTCTAATATTCGCTGGGTATGCGGCTCCTTGGGGGTCATCGGCGTGCTTCGGCTATACAGCGCCGACGCCACAAGACAATCATCGTGACGTATAAAGTGCGAGTTGTTCAAATAAGCTCCTTCTGGGCTGTCCGCCCGAAGGAACTGACACTCAAGGCACCTGTGTTTAGAAAAATGGGTAACAATTTAGACCACTAGGTACTCTGCTATGGGATACCATAAAGCAGTCCCGCGGCCATTTAATCATACCAAGCCCGAGTTCCCGGGCCCTTCTATCGTAGTTACCATACATACACTAGAGCGAACACTAGCGATAGTGTATATGGGAGCTGAAACACACTGTGCTTCAGCGAGCATGGGGATGACGGGTAGTACGTGGATTTGCCTAATCTTTGTAATTATGGCTTCGGGTGTGTTCGTGTGGCTTGGAACTGTTCTGTCACAATACAAAAATAGGTGAAGGTACCGTGCTTGCGCTTCACCACCTTATTATATTACGCTTACCAATCTAACCATTATAGGCTTACCAATTTTAGGCTTTAAATCTGGTCAAGAAGTTCAAAAAGGATTCGTTTTGTTCTTCATAACAAAATCGAAACACAGCGATAAACGAAGCCACGAGTACGATTCACCATCCGTAAGTACGAAGTGTAGACAAATTCATGTACTACGCATTATTCGCATACTCTCGGGACGATCGCAGTGCCCGAGTCCCATCACGTTAATTTATTGAAACTCAGTTTAGAAAGAGGTGTTAACGACTTGAGTACTTCATACTCTACTATAGGAGACCATAAAGCCGTCCCGTGGGCCTCACACTTGAAAACAACGAGGAAAACTCAAATATTTACAGAAACTTATTCTCACGAACAGTGAACATAGATTACAATCCAACAGAACCTCGCGACGGAACACCACATCCACAGAGGCGGGTAACAATTTAGAGTACTAGATACTCCACTTTGGGAGAGCATATAGCCTTCCCGTGGGCCTATATTACAAAATCAGTGTTCGAGTGGTTTGAAGCGCATCCGATGCCTTTTTATAGAAAGATTATTTACACTATGTACAAAAAACTAAAGTTTCATTACATTCCTGTAATGGGCACATACACTTCGGCATATCTATGTACTACGAAAAACGTGACTGCGTTGAAAGAAATACATCATTGCTCTAATATCCCGTTTAAGCGAATTTTATTTCCGGACACATCTTACATATACAGTGTTTAGAGAAATTTATTCTCACAGACAGTGAACATCAATTACAATCCAACAGAACATTGCGACAGAACACAACATCCACAGACACACTAAAAGGTATTACAAAAAGATATGTGTACATATGTAAACGGAACACAACACACACAACTTACCCAACTACACAGGAATTGTTACAAAAACAATGTCTACATATGCACAATACATGGTAAACAAAGAACACCCAAATGAAATGTAGAGATCTATATGTCAGATACTTACATAGTGTTTACAGGGTATTTGTATGAGTACTAAACAAAGATTAACCTACCCATACCAGGCAGGCCTGAAAACAAGCCTTACACGTCTCTCACAGACGAACACAAAACGGCAGGACCAGTGTCGACGGAATTCCTCCTCACCCAGAAAGAAGAGTTCCTCCGACAACACAGATAGTATTTCTTTGTACAGTTACTCCAAAATCGGGAAGAGAGCACGGCGGTGACGACCTGCTGCAACAGCTTCACAACGGTTACGCCAAAAACAGTAGGCACCAGCAACAATAAGAAGGCAAGCAAAGCGGCCTGGAGAACAACGTCCAGAAGAAACAAAGCGGTTTACTCCGAGGCCACGAAATCCTGCATGCACAGCCCTCCAGAAAACACGAGCAACGACACATTGCCTTAACACATGCTGATTTGTTTCCCGTAGGGAGCAGTTCGGACATGTTGATGACAGGACCATTCTCCACCTTTCTAGGCGGTCATATACATTTACTATAGCTTACAGATGCCTTCTTTACCTGGGACTACGTTTTGCTGCTCCAGCGGACGACTTTTACACTTCGTAGATCTGGTAGTGCTGAACCACAGTAGTGGAACAGGGTATAGTCAGAACCATGAGGTTGTAAGCACTCGTTGGCACGCGCTAGTGCGTTCGAGCCTCGGTAATTGGCTGTATAAGAGGCTATGGCCTCTTCCTTTTACACTTTCTCAGTAACATGGGAACGAGATTCTGCAGACGCGCGCTTAATTCACGTGTTTTCGCGTGGCGTGGCGATGAACCCGCGTGGCTTGCTCCAACAAGAGTTACGGACGACTAACAGTAACAGAAAATTGAATTCTTGGTGTGCTCCACCTGCAAGGACGCGTTGACATCGGGCAAGGTTTCCGTGATGAACAGAACTTTATGTCGACTTATGCGCTGCATCGCATGCTACTCATGGCTCCTTTCAGTGGCAGATGTCCTTACTTTTTCGAGTTAAAGCGAATGACAAGGTGATTACGACACCAGGTACACATATGTAGCCAGAAAAAAATAAATTCCGCGATCGCATGACCAAGTGATGTCATGTGGCAATACCACGTGATTCTGATTTGGAAGGTAGTAAGGACATTATTGCAAATGACAGGCCTAGACGCAATGTTTATTGAAGTGGCCTCAGCAGACTTTCATCAGATTTGTGTAACTGTGTTCACGGCTTTTTTTTCTGCGTCCGAGTCCCCAAAATAGACGTACGTTTTCCCTCAGTTCTCAACCAGCCAGTATTTATATTTGCGGTTTTTGTTCTATTATATGTGGCCAACGGCACGTTTACTTTTACAGAAATTTTTTTGTGATATTTAGCGTTCTTTTATGCGGGTGTTCTCTGTTACACACAAGGTCTGCCCAACAATCAGCATGGCTTTATGATACATTCCATAGAGGTAGGGAAAATAAACAGGAATGCTTTTCAACGGCAATCAACTTTCGAGTGTATTGCGACTAAACTCGGCGAACGTACCTTCTGTAGTACCTAATATTTATATACGTTATTCAACTCAAAAGAACGCTACTTTTAGAAACTTAGCATTTCCTGCTGCTCCGCTTCCCACATGCTTACATGTATTTCCTATTTACAGGCTACTTTCGAGACAAGCACGGATCCTACAACGGTCTCCTTCACTGCACAGCAGCCGTCAATGGTTTATTGTTGATTGTCTGGACTATGAAGCTGCTGAAGAGAAAGAGATTGGAATCAACGACAAAGAAGGAGCGATTGGCCGAAAGAACATGAATAGAAATGCGGAAGTCACTTCTTATAGCGGCGCACGGACTGCTTAGAAGAGCAAGGACTGCTATAGCAAGGACTGCTTAGAAGAGACTCGGCATGGGACGTTAGTTCCCACAATTTAGTGAGTTTGAGCTCCAAGCTGAGTGAAATTATACTCTCGGTTACTCACGACAGCATCACCACAATCGCATGAACTGGACGCACGTCACAAAGTGCCACATTTGCGAACTTGCTTCATTCTATTTCACTTAGATGACAACTACGTGCGTGTTCGTTCATAGGACTTCGTACTTATGCCATAGCGGAGAAATGGGTCACTCGTGAATGTGATCAGCAACTTACTTATGTCGTTATCATTATGTTCTACACGTAGCCCAACTGAGGTCTTTATATTCGCATTACCTTGCATGACAGAGCGCTTTTCTATTGTCATTTCCTGTTTGTACATTTTATTCTTTGATATTTTGTACATAACTAGGTATTGCATCCAAACTCACTTGAAGGGCTTTTACTTTTTCTTCGCCATGACTTCAATGATTTCAATTATCTGTGACGAGGAGTAGCTGGCGATATGTACAGGCGCTAACATCACCTGAACAAGTCAATATTTTAACAAAATAATTGTACAATTGTACAATTGGCATGCTACTGTACAATTGACAATGACTTCAGTTTTTGAATGTTTCATTGAAAACGTTGATTTTGTATTACCGGAGATGATTTTTTCATGTGTCTGTGTTTTGTAAGCCTCCCTGTTCTTCTTTTGATTCTTTTCCTTCTCCTCATGCATTTTGTAACCATGTTGCAGATGTACAGATAGCTTAACTAGGTGCTATCAGTGTCATATGGAAAGTGAACAGCGTAAAGCATTAACGATGCTGTGCACAACGCTCATTACTATTGTCAGGCATGTACATTTGGTTCGCCAGCGCTGAGGATGTGCGTGTGCCTGTCCGGGGTGATAATTGGGTGGTGCTAACTATAACATTGCTAGTGCTTGCCGCTTTTTGCTAATTAGATGACGTCGATAGTACATCATTTGGTGTTCCGAGCTCATTTTTCTGTTTATAATGGCTACTCTACTAGTGACTCGAGCATAGCATTCGATATATGTACTCATCACTAGTTATGTTCAACGGGCGATAAACAAGGTAGTTTCGACAATGGTGTGAGGAGCAGTATAAAAAAGCGACATGATCATTTGAATACATCTACTTAACGCTGCAACTACCATTCTTACTGATATCGCATTTCGACATTTTTAAAACGACCTCCGAGAGCCTAACGAAAGCTCCACACCTTCGAAACTATGGCGGATTTATTGACGGGCAGTGATTACGTTTACAGGCCCCTGCGGCCCGTGTCAATGAGGGGGGGTCATCCTTCACATCGATATTTCCTGATAAACGTAGCGCCAGAAAAGTAGCGCCAGAAACTTTTAATTGTCCAGCAGAATAATGGCCCGGACTAAAATCTCCCATGTCGGGACGTCAGGGCCTTGCCTCCCCACCGCTTGACGGGCCTGCTGCACTGCCTCGAGTTGTCCGGGGAGTTTGGAGCTCCGCAGAGTGGCTCCCCACCTCGCCTAGAAAATATCGGGACTAGTACGTCCCGCTTTAGAACTGGGAACTTGGCAAAAGGGCGGAATGCTGCTCTGCCACATTTTTGAATCCATGCATAAAGCTACTCCTGCGTCAGCACAGAAATGTCAATACACATTTTGTTACTTTAGGCTACTAGCTATTAAACAACAAACGTTTAGTTTGTCTGGTCCCCGAATATAAAGCGGAGCTTTTTTTTTAAATTCTAGCATATGAGAAAGACAAAAAGCGACAAGAAGCCATTCAATCGCTTTAGAGAGTGTCTTATTTATTGAACCATTACATTACACTCATGTATTATGTTTCTTTGTTAAGATGGTTCTGACATACAAGATAACATCATATAGAGCTTCCTTGGAGGAAAACGACTTGAAAAAGCACTGTTTTTCGTTTAAGACATATTCTCGCTGCATAGAGATTTTTTTTCTGTAATTCCAAGGGCGCTCTCAAGAGGCGCAAACAAAAAATCCAAAAACACGTCTTGGGACGATATTTAACGACGTTTCTTCCATACCCTGAATAAAAAAAAAACATGCGCTAGAAAATCTCAATCTTACACCGTTTTAAATGCATCGCCCTGCAAAGCCCAGCGAACGAAGTTAAAAGCCGTCAAGCGCTTGAGCAGTTCTGAAGTAAAGCGGCAGAAAGAGGTGAAGAAAATACGTGACGACCTATCTATAGCCTCCCAATTCTTCGCCCCGCAGCGGGGGGTCTAGTGGCTAACGTACTCGGCTGCTGACCCGCAGGTCACGGGATCGAATCGCAGGTGCGGCGGCTGCATTTCCGATGGAGGCAGAATTGTTGTAGGCCTGTGTACTCGGATTTGGGCACAGGTTAACGAACCCCAGGAGGTCGAAATTTCCGGAGCCCTCCGCTTCGGTGTTTCTCATAATCATAAGGTGGTTTTGGGACGTTAAACCCACCAGTCAAATCAATTTTAATTTTTCAGTAATCTAATGAAGTGCAGGCGTTTAACGAAACAACATCAGCCCAAAGAAAGACTAGCGTTATTTGATCGGCAAGGAGTTTCGGAACCATACAACACCGCATTCAGTCTAGATTCTATGCGTGGAGTCTAAGGAGTGGCTTCTTTCAGACTGCGTAAGGGTCAGCAGAGCCATTTTCAACTACTTCGGCAGCAAACACTGAAGGAATGATTTTTTTCACACTGTTTCATTTTGCCCCACGTGGTGCCTCACTTTGTCTCGCAGGTTGGTCAAAATAGAAGAGCTGTAGCATATTTTTTTCATTTATCTTTAAATGCTGTTTTGAATGGTTACACCATGGCAAGAGAGAGAGAAACGAGAAAAAAGGAAGGCAGGGAGGTTAACCAGATGCTAGTATCCGGTATGCTACCCTACCCTACACTGGGGTTGGGGAATATGGGGTTGAAAGAGAAAGGAATAGTTAAAAAAATAAGAGAAAAACACCGACACACACGCACACACAAAATCAGTCCACTCAGAGCCGTTCCGACAGGCCAGTAGTTCGTAAGAAGCCCAGTAGCGCTTGCACGGCTTTCTTCTGTGATGATGAGTCATGACGATAGCGCAGTATACTTTCTTCTGACAGTGGCTGGTCATCTAACCTGTTTAGTTTATTAGAAATGTGTTGTCTTTCCAGGCTGTATTTCGGGCAGTCACACAGGATATGTCGAATTGTTTCTTCGTCTTCGCAGTGTGCACAGTCGGCGGTGTCGGCCATACCTATGCGGAACGTAAACGCGACTCCCAACCATAGTCTGCACAGAGCAGTAGCGTCGCCTCGTCGAATTTTCGTTGGAAGCTGCATGCTTAACGTTGGATCAAGGGATCGTAATCTTGCATACGTAAAGAGAGGCTCATTCCAAAGAGCCATGGAGCGTTGGCGAGCAAGCATGCGGAGCCTCCTAGTAGCGTCCGTCCTTGAGAGAGGTATTGACTGGTCGTTGTCTTCTGTATGGGCTGAACGGGCAGCTTGATCAGCTCTTCCGTTACCGATAATTCCACGGTGGCTTGGCAACCACTGAAATATAACGTGGTGCCCTTTCTCTGTTATATGGCATAGCGTTTCTGCTTTTTCAAATAGCAGCTGCTCGTGTGGACCACGGCGTAGATTTGAAAGAAGTGACTGCAGTGCTGCCTTGCAGTCGCAGAAAATCGTCCACTGTTGCGTGTTTTGATCATTAATGAAACGCAGCGCAGCGCGAAGCGCTGCAAGCTCTGCTGCCGTTGTTGTGGTTGCATGAGCTGTCCTGAATTTGATGGTTGTGGCGTGCATTGGAATAACGACCGGCGCAGTTGAGCTGTTTGGCAGGACGGAGCCGTCGGTGTAGACGTGGGTGCAGTCTTGGTACTTCTCGTACAGCAGAAGTAAGGCGAGCTGCTTGAGGGCTGGTATTGAGAAATGACGTTTTTTCTGGATGTCTGTTATTGTCAGGTTGATGACCGGCTGTTTGAGGCACCATGAAGGAATTGAAGGTCTCGCCGCGGGCGTAAAACCAGTTGGTAGGGAGTCACCATGTGTAGTTATTATTCTACAAAAGGAAGTATGAGGTCTATCCACTGGTGGAGAGGCTAGGTGGTGATGGGATGTCCGGCCCACATGCCTTATGTGTGTCCTCAAAGCTTCAATTTCAATATAGGTCTGCACGAGGTGGTCTTTGGCTATAGCTATAGTAGCCATTGTTGAGGCACCCTGAGGCAGACCTAAACATATTCGAAGCGTCTGTGCCTGAACGCTTTGTATCATGCGTCGACTTGTTTTGCTGGCGTTTGATAATGCAGGCAGACTGTATCGTAAAAAGCCAAGGAAAAGGACCCTGTACAGTCGTAACATAGCTATAAGCTGCGTTCCCCAAGTCTTTCCAGCGATAAACTTGAAAAGATGGCATATGCCTGTCAATCGCTTTTTCAAATACGACACATGAGGGCTCCATGATATGTCTCTGTCGACTATGACACCCAGAAATTTGTGAGATCGACAATATCGTATATATTGACCGTTAATTGACACTCTGTATTTTGACATGGGTTGGCGCGTAAATGCCAGAAGAGCGCACTTTCCGGAGGAAATTTCCAGGCCTCGATTGCGTAGATACAAAGCAGTTGCAGTAGCAGCTCTCTGTATTCTCGCTCGTACCTGCAGGTGAGTTACCGTAGATGTCCAGATGCAGATGTCATCAGCGTATGTTGATAGATAAATATTGTTTGGTACGTGCGTATAGAGAGCGATTAGTGTTATATTGAAAAGCACGGCGCTCCGTACACTACCCTGAGGAACGCCATGACAACTGAAATGCGAAGACGTGTTCCCGGTCTCTGTACTCACAAAATAGGATCGCATTTGGAGATAACTGCGTATCCACTTAAACATTCGGCCACCCACTCCAATCTCTTCTTGTGTGGTAAGGACGGCTTCATGTGTAACGTTATCATAGGCTCCTCTAACGTCAAAGAACAGGGAGGCGCAAAGACGCTTATGGCTTTTCTCGTGTTCAACGTACGTGATTAGGTCGATGACGCTATCGATCGATGAACGACCACGTCGAAAGCCAGCCATGGCATTTGGGTAGATCTCATGATAGATACTCCAAGTACCACTCGAGTCGGCCGAAAATCATTCTCTCCATCACTTTACCCACGCAACTAGCCAATGCGATCGGGCGATAGGAGGAGAGTTTCAATGGTGATTTGCCTGGTTTTAGTAATAGTAATAGACGACTAGTTTTCCAACTTAAGGGAACAGTGCCCTCTAGCCAACAATCATTATATAGCTGAAGTAGAGCTATTCTCGCGCGATCACCCAGATGACACAGGGCTCTGTACGAAATTCCGTCAGGTCCTGGGGCGGAGGTACGTTTGCATGAAGCGAGTGCTGCTTTGAGCTCCTGAATGGTGAACGGGAAGTCCATACAGGAATCACGTGGTGGTGGACAACTGCTCGAAAGTCGTGAGCTGCTGATGGCTGTAGTTTGCCCTGATAATCCGGCACAGAACTCTTCAGCAACGTCTACATCTGGTCGATTTTGGTGAAGGGCTAAGGCCTTGAATGGTGACTTCTGAATGGGTGATGACCGCAAACCTCTAACCGTCCTCCATATCTGCGATAAAGGCTTAAGAGGGTCGAGTGACTCGCAGAAAGTAATCCAGCGTTGCAATTCTAGCTTGTCCAACCGACGTTTGATCTTCTTCTGCATACATCTAGCAGTCCGTAAATCTTCTACGTCCTTCGTGCGCCGGTACCTTCTTTCACTTCGTCGTCGCAAGGCTCGAAGCCGCTCCAGCTCTATGTCGATGTCCATGATTCATACAGGACATGGAATCGTACACACAGTCTCTTTTACAGTGCTCTTGATGGCCTCTTGTAAATCTGATATGTGTTCTTAGCATTGGTCTTCCATACGAGACTGAAATATTTTGCAGTCCACTCTTTTAACCATGTCGCGCACTTTAGGAGGCGACAATCCTCTGATCT